AACACCTGAATGTCATTTATTCACAGTTGTGCCTGAGGGACAGTAGACAGATAGCTTAGATCTATCCCTGTTTTACCCTTTAGTGCAGCGGTTCTCAACCGGTGGGTTGTGACCCCTTTGTAACAATGAAAATACATCCTGCATATCAGACATTTACATTACAATTCATAACAGTAGCAAAATTACAGTTATGAAGTAGCAACAAAAATAATTTTATGATTGGGGGTCACCACAACATGAGGAACTGTATTAAAGGGTCGCGGCATTGGGAGGCATTAGAAAGGTTGAGAACCACTGCTTTAGTGTTATGCACAAGACTTATATTTTTGGCTTTGGATAGGAGGGCTCTTAATTTTGTTACCATTACATAAAGAAAAATTAACTAACTTGTAGACTGTGAAAAAATTCAAATCAGTAACTTCTAATTTGCAAATTTTTGAAGTCACAAATTATTGGTAACCAAAGTTATAGCATTTAGAGATATTAACATTAGTGCTTTATCATTTAAATTGCTAATCTCTTAGGTTTTACGTACAGTAGAATTTTCCAGCTTACTCAGTGGAAGAGCTCTACAGGATGATCCATTTAAAAAAAGAAGTTTTAAATTTAAATTCAAGTTTGTGAGATTTCCATTGCATTAGCACATTAAAATCCTTTACAATTGTTTTAACTCAATGTTTCTCACTTTTTTTTTTTTTTTAAAACAAAGTGCTATGGCATCACAGCTCACAACACTCTCAACTTCTTGGGCTTAATGACTCTTCCTCGGCCTCTCAAGTAGCTGGGACTACAGGCGCCTGCCATAACGCCTGGCTATTTTTTTTGTTGTTGTAGTTGTCATTGTTATTTAGCAGGCCCAGGCTGGGTTTGAACCCGCCAGCTCTAGTGTATGTGGCCGGTGCCCTAACCAGTGAGCTATAGGCATTGAGCCCCCACATTTATTTTAACTGAGAATCCTTTGTGTGAATATTAAAAAATACTATAAGATAAAATTTAGTTTTTCTGTGCAAAAAAGAGATGGTATCTTAAAATGTGAAATTAAAACGAGAAATTATTTCACTTGATATTTTTTCCAAAACAATTTTGCAAGGGCATATGAGCTCATTTTAAACAGATAATTAGCACAAACTTTTATGAACCTACCTGAATATCCAATAATACTTCCCAGCCAAGACAAAAGTTTCAAACCAAAATTCTGATGTGCAACAATAGATGAATGCATAACTTGAACTTTGAGTGGCTTTGTCTGTCTACTGGTGCTCCTCTTAAAAAGAAATGGCAGGATTAAAAACTAACTTAAAAAGCTATTTCACTGCAGAAAAAAGTTAACATTTTATTTAAAGAACCATATCATCATCATAGGAGAATTTTTCACGTGTGTGTGTGTGTGTAAGAAAAACACCACTGTGTTTGCCTTACTCGATTCAGATCCTCATTTTCTAAAATAATCTTAGGATTCAGAAAACAAGAAGGTCCAGTCAGCTTATGAGTAACCTAAATCTTTAGTCCTATAGTTGAAAATCTGCCCTACCAGTTATAAATGATTAAACTTAGCTTAAACTTAGTTTACATATTTAAATTAATGACTTTTTTTTGAGACAGAGTCTCGCTGCCTGGGCTGGAGTGCAATGGCGTGATCACAGTTCACAGCAACATCAAGCTTTTGGGCATCAAGTGATCATCCTGCCTCAGCCTCCCAAGCTGCTGAAACTACAGGCATGGTCATGCTCAGCTGATTTTTCTATTTTTTTGTAGAGTGGGGTCTTGTTCTGCTCAGACTAGTCTCGTAGTCCTTGTCTCCAGCAATCCAATAATTTACTTCATTGCATAGACGTGATCATATTATCAATACCTTCAAAAACACTGTGGTAAAATATACATAAAATTTATCTCCTTAACCATTTTTAAGTGTACAGTTCACTACTGTTAAGTATATTCACATTGTGTGCATCACAGTACTCATTTAACACATACCGGCTTTTCTCTTGCCTAGTACGCAGTAACCACTTTTATTTTTTTGGCTCTCTGAATATGACTATGCTAAATACCCCATAAAAGTGGAATCATACATTATTTACTTGTCTGCTACTGGCTTATTTCATTTAGTGTAACATCCTCAAGGTTCATCCATGTTGTAGCATGTATTAGAATTTCCTTCCTTTTTAAGGCCAAGTAATATTCTACTGTATATATAGACTACATTTTGTTTGCATTCATCCATCAACAGATACTGGGTTGCTTCCACCTTTTGGCTGTTGTGATTAATGGTGCTTGAACAGGAGTGTGCAAGTGTCTCTTTGAAATCCTGCTTTCAATTCTTTGCACATATACCCAGAAGCAAATTGCTAGATCTTACGGTAATTATGTTTTTAACGTTTTGAGGAATAACCATCCTGTTTTCCATACTGGCAGTACCATTTTACCTTCCCACCAGAAGTGTACAGAGGCTTCAGTTTCTCCACATTCTTGCCAATGCTTTTTTTCTAGAGTCTCCCATGTTGTACGGGCTGGAGTGCAATGGCCATTCACAGGCAGGATTACAACGCACTGCAGCCTGAAACTCCTGGGTGCATGTCATACTGCCTCAGCCTCCTGAGTGGCTGGGATTACAAAGCACACACCCAGCTTTAACACTTTTTTACCTCGGCTATCCTGATAACGTGTAAGGTGGTATTTTATTGCAATTTTGATTTGCATTTCAGTAATGGTTAGTGATCTCAAACATGTTTTCGTGTGCTTACTGGCCATTTGTATATTTTCTTTAGATAAACATCTATTCAAATATATGGACACTTTTTCTCCCTTTCATTTTTTATTTGAATCCTCTTTTCACTGTGATTCATCCCCTCTCCACAGCCTCTATTATTTAACATGGTAAGTCTTTGCACATTTTCTCCATGCATACAGTATTATGTGTACACATTCATAAATGTGTGATCTATCTTAGCTTAAAATGTCTTATTAATGACTATGCAATATTTTTGTGGTATAGATTTACTGAAACAAACTCTACAAAAGGCCTTTCACATTCACTTTATTTTTTGGTCGTGTGAGATTTCAAAAAAAGCAGCGCTGTATTGAACATCCTGTATACATACCTACTGGTGCCTGATTTCTATGGGATAAGTTCCTGGGAGAGTTAAAGCTTTAACAGATGTTACCAGATTGTTTTCCAAAATGCTGTAGCAATTTATTTTTACATGTGCATTCCTATTCTCTGCAAACAAGATTCTTTTTTTTGTAGAGACAAAGTCTCACTCTATCGCCCTAGGTAGAGTGCTGTGGCATCACACAGCTCACAGCAACTTCCACCTCCTGGGCTCAGGCGATTCTCTTGCCTTAGCCTCCCGAGCAGCTGGGACTACAGGCGCCCGCCACAATGCCTGGCTATGAAACAAGATTATTTTATCACTGTAATCTCATATATATTGGCCACCTAGATTTTTGGCTTTTCATGTCCTTTGTCTATTTTTCTATTTTATTATTTGTTCCCCAAATAATCTTGATGATCTATAAGCACAATTTCTGATGCATTATTACACTGAATATGTTCAGATATCAAGGAAAAATTTCTTAAATAAGACATAAAATATATAAATCATAAAGGAAAGAATGTATTTGTTATATTAAAATTTAAGGCTTTTGCTTAATGAAAGGAATCAGAAACAAACTTAAATGAGTAAGAAAAACCAACAGAAACACTGTTGAGTAAGAATATGAACAGGAAATTCACTAAAAAGAAAACTTAAATGACCAATACAATAAATATAAAATAGGTGCTTAGAAATTACGGAGACACAAATTTACCTTGTGAGATACCATTTTATATACATCAGGTTGGCAAAAATTAAAAAAAAAATCAATGATAAAGTTTTAATGAAAGTGTGGAGAAATGGGAACCCTCATACACTGCTGATGGGAAGGTACACTGATACTGTAATTTTGGAGATAAACTAGGCAAAATCTATTGAAGATGAAAATGTTCATACCCTAAAAACTCAGAAATTCCAGTTCATGGTATATGCCTTAGAGAAACCTTTTGCATCTATGCAACAAGGAGATAAAAGACATGTCCACAGCAGGAATACTTATCACGGAAAAACCTAGAAACATCCTAATTGTCCATGAACAGGAGAATGGATAACTGGTGTAATCCTCAGTGGAATATTTTATAATGGTTACAAATGAATGAACTACCACAACATGTTATCTGATATCAACATAGGTCAATCTAAAATAATGCTGAAATGAAAATGCGGCTTGCAGTATCAAACACTCTGCACGCATCTTGTTATTTAGCATTTAATGGCCTCCAAATTGATATATACAGTATTGACAGATATTTAATATATGAAGTATAAAGCCGTGCATGGGAACAAAAAAATTAATGAAAAGTATTTACCTCTAGGGAAAGAGGAAGGGTAATGGGATTAGGAAGAGATAATACAGGGGCTGCCATACTGCTTTATTTAAAATTAGTATAAAGAAAATAAGATGTAAGGTGGACACACGGGTGTTCGTTGTAACTATTTAGATATTTAAAATATTTTACAAAACATAAAATTATGTTTTAAAAAGAACATTTATGTAAAATGCACTCACATGAAACAGTGAGAAATAAATCGTAACTTTTAAAAAGAGATCTACATGTGGGGAATAGGTCTCTTTTAAAAACGAATACACTACATACTACTAGGGTATGGTGTGTATGTTGCCATAATGTACCAAGAAACAACTTTCCTTGAATTCTAATTTTGGCGCTAAAGGCCAATTTAATTCCTAAAAAGTAATGTAAAAAGCAACAAACCTTTTAACACTTCTCTGGAGAAATAGGCAGATAGAGAAGTGTACCTTACTCCAATATTCAATTTTCTGTATCTTACACAGCTAAAAAAACTAGATAAAGCAATAATGTAATACTCAAGAAACACTATCTTTATTTTTTATTTTATTTATTTATTTTTTTGTAGAGACAGAGTCTCACTTTATCGCCCTTGGTAGAGTACTATGGTATCACAGCTCACAGCAACCTCCAACTCCTGGGCTTAGGCAATTCTCTTGTCTCAGCCTCCCAGTAGCTGGGACTACAGGCGCCCGCCACAACGCCCGGCTATTTTTTTTTCTTGTTCTTGTTGCAGTTTGGCCAGGGCCAGGTTTGAACCTGCCACCCTCGGAATATGGGGCTGGCACTCTACCTACTGAGCCACAGGTGCTGCCCAAAACATTATCTTTAAACATAATTTCTGGTTGACATTGGCTATAATAAAAGCAGAAAAATATGTTCATAAATACTGAAATATGAAGCTAGTTTTGAACTAATAAATATGTATATAAACATGTTTTGACATTACTTACCACAATTACTGATTTTGCTTGGTCACAATACTGGAAGTCTCCATATCGAACGGACCTTCGCCCCTGTAAATAAAGATATCTAAAATTAACCTATAAAATATTACATTCAATATTAAACCAATAAACAAACATGTTTGATCATGTAACAACTCTGATCAATTTTTAATATTTATGTTCATCCTACTCATTAGTGAAAAAATAATTTCCTTCAGAGCTATCCTAACTTTTTAAAGCCATTATAAGTGTATTTCCTTGAACAACACAACATTTACTCTTTTAGGCTTCTACAATTCCATTTTTGTAAATGAGTATTTTTAATTACAGGATAGAATGAGGGTAACTGTATAGCTCCTCTTAAATTTTCTGTTAGCAGTTTACAGTTATACCCATATACATTTGGGCCAATATTAAAATGAAATTTTTTAAAAAGCCTAGACATGTGTACCTTTAACTCGATTTTCCAGGGTAAATTACCTGTAGTAAAAATTTGATTTACTACATTCTATCAGTATGATAAAATTACGTACATCTCGATCTACTGTTGTTGCAAAACCAATGGCTTCTTTTTGTGTACAGTTTACAGCTTTCTGAAGAGTATAAATAACTTGCTCGTAGGTATGAACTTCATCATTAAACAGCATGCAATAGTAGGTGTCACTCTTCTCTCTGCGTACGAAAACATTAATGACATATACTGGATTATCTATGTGCGTGTTATTTTATTCTAGGTTGATTTATTAAGAGGATAATTTGTCCTACAAAATGTGCTAGGTATTGGGGATATATCTGTTAAAGTCATTTGTGATCAATGTGCTCTGATATTATAGACTGGTAGGGAAAACAGATATTGAACAGATAACTATATAAACTGCTTTTTATCAAGAACAGCAGGATACTAGAGCAGGTATAGTAGGTCTGGTTGTTCAGAGAAGAACTTCTGGAGAAATAATCTAAGATTCGAAGTCAGAACTGGCTATCTCTGGTTCTCAAGTGGGGGGCAATTCCCCTTCATTTCCCGCAGCTGACTGTGTGGCAGCTTCTGGAGACATTTTTAGTTTTCATGACTGTGGGTTGGGGCTGCTACTAGCATGTAAAGCATAGGGGTCAGGGTATGCTGCTAACTATCTCGCAATCCTCTACCTTTGCCTCCGTAACAATTAATTTGGTCCCGAATGCCAACAGAGCCAAGGCTGAGAAACCCTGGGCTAGAGAAAGGTACAAGCAAAGGCACTGAGGTGGCAAAGGTAAATACTGGGACCTGGAGCACAGGGAGGAAGGAGGAGATTAGTATGAGATTAGCCTGGTCTGGAGAGAGGCAGAAATCTTGAACACCTTACGATGGATTTTGATTTTTGCCATTGTAAGGATTTGAAATAGGAGACACGATCAGATTTGCCTTGAAGTTCATGTTGGTTGCAGTGCAGAAAATGAATTTTAAGAAGGAAGGTGTATATGGCAATCCAATTAGGAGGATGTGTTATCCAAGGATGAACTTAAGGGAATTGGGAATAGGGTGGCAGTGATGGAAATAAGCAGAAGCAGCGCAGTTTGACAGAGGGAGAACCAGCTGAAGCTGGCACCTAGGTGAACATGGGTGATTCAGGTTTTGGAGTGGATGGAAACTAAGACAGGAAACATCACAAGAGAAGCAAACTAAATTCTTTTCCCTTCCATGCTGAACCCAGAACAGAATAAAATAAATACAAAACTCCTCTATTCTCTAGGATCTAAGCTTGGATTTTAGGTCAATGATTTCCAATTGGAAGTGCAGGAAGATAAAATCATGTGTGGTACTCAACATCTCCAAAAAGGCAGAATACAGTAACACCTCATTTCATTAAAAAACAACCCACAACTTCAATTACCTGAAACCCCACTGAGAAAGCAAAAGATACACACAACCAACATCCTGCAGGTCCTCATTCCAGCTGGTGTTCATCTCTAACTATGAATACAATACTAACAGGTTTATAAGAGAAAGTTGTTTGAAGCAAGCACACTAACAAGGAAAAGTACCCTTAAGCTGGCAGCACCTGTGGCTCAGTGGGTAGGGTGCTGGCCCCATATACCGAGGGTGACGGGTTCGAACCTGGCCCTGGTCAAACTGCAACAAAAAAATAGCTGGGCAATGTGGTGGGTGCCTGTAGTCCCAGCTACTCAGGAGGCTGAGGCAAGAGAATTGCCTAAGCCCAGGACTTGGAAGTTGGTGTGAGCTGTGACGTCACAGCACTCTACTGAGAGTGATAAAGTGAGACTCTGTCTCTAAAAAAAAAAAAAAAAGTAACCCTTAACCTTGATACAGCTGTGGAAGAATGCACTCTCTGGTCACAAGTTTGTGATCTCAATGATCTAAGTAAAATAAGCACAAAATATAGAAGACATTTTATAGAAAGGTAGGATCAAAATGGTTAAAACTGAGTTTGAGCATTTATTCAAACCAGAAAACTCACTTATATTAAAGACCTCACCCTCTAATGAGATGTGCTAAACAAAACAGTAAGTAGAGTTGCAGAGTTAATCATATCAGTTTTATCATACAATCAAAGAGAAAATTGCTTATGTATGAAACCAGTTGTAGAGCTCTGACAGTTTAAATATGGCTACAAACCAACTAACCAACAGAGAGAAACGAACACCAATTAACTGGATCATACAAATATTTAAAAACGATAAAAACACTGATGGATAGTGTTCTGATGAAAAGTGATTTAAAAAAAAAATGATTACATCCTAACTATGAAAGTTAAAACCTAGCAATTCCTCACAAAGACTATATAGGTTATACTTACCCCATCTCTAAATCTGCTGGCAATTCACTTTCTTTTTCCCAGGTTAATATCTCTACCGCATAGCGAAACATGATAGCAAAAATGTTGTAAGTTCTTGCTATCACGTCTTCTGACAAATGCACAAGAGGATCCTGAAAGAAAGACAAGAACAAAAAGCAACCATGTTAAATGTATATTAACTTTCTTTCCTATTCTGCCTCCAACCCTCAAAATAGCTGATCTTCCAGCTTCAGTTTCTCTTCGTCTTCTTTCTTGTACATTACAACCTATGAAACAAAGCTTCCTGAAATGTTTAGTTCAAAATAACCCCAATTACTGAAATCAAGTGAATCAAAATATTAAATGGTGGCTTAGCACCTGTGGCTCAAGTGGCTAAGGCGCCAGCCACATACACCTAAGGTGGCGG